GGTTTCACAAAATAGAACAAAGCAAATAAAATATATTAATAAAAATATTCATTTTTTTTATATTAATATATATATATACAGTGGGTACGGAAAGTATTCAGACCCCCTTAAATTTTTCACTATTTGTTATATTGCAGCCATTTGCTAAAATCATTTAAGTAAATTTTTTTTCCTCATTAATGTACACACAGCACCCCATATTGACAGAAAAACACAGAATTGTTGACATTTTTGCAGATTTATTAAAAAAGAAAATTGATAAATTCACTGTAAACCACGGCTTCTCGGGGCTTATTACTTTATTTAAACACACACACACACACACACACACACACACACACAGGATCCGTCGAGCGGCACAGCCAGAGTTTCCACACGGACAGTTTTAGAAGACGCGCACACAAGGTTTGTGTTTATGCTTTACATTACTGTACTACAGAAATGTTATGTCAGATTATTCAAGATTTAAAAAACCCAGAATGTGTAGTGTTGATGCATTTGAAAGCATATGACTAAGAGTTGATTTAAGCACGTGATTGCTTGTATTCGATTTTAAATGGCTGTATAATCTCAGCTAACGTTAGTTTGGTAACGAGTATAAAAGCAGCATCCTAAACCCAGTGAATCGCTAAGACAGCATTTATAAAGTAGAGAGGTAACGTTACTCAGCAGTCTGCATTCATTTTGTGGCATGCTGAAGATTAATGTATTTTATTACAATTTGCGCTCAAAATATTAGGCAGATTTATTAAATGCATACAATCGCAGTAGTTTTATTGTCTTAAATAAAGTCTGATGATGCCAATTGTAATCTGTGGCCCTTAGCATTTGATGTGGTTTGGCCTCTGAACCTGAGTACCCCTTTATTCGTGTCAGCTCCAGTGCTGTTAACATTGAAACCAAATACTAAAACATTTTCAAAATTCAAATACAAACGATTTCCCCAGTTCTTTCTTTGGACCCTAAGTTATGATTTCAGTAAGAATTCACACAGGAATCAACATTGTGTCATTATTTACTCGCCCTCGTGTCGCCCCAAACTGATATGCTGGTATTTCTCTCCATCAATATGACATAAAGTGCATACAACTCGTGCGCTATATTACACAAATGTGAGGATTGGGGAAAACTTGTGTTCCAGAGAAAGGTTGTGAGGATGAATAAATAATAAACTTTTTTTTTAGTCTATTTATTTTTTAAACAACTGGATTTTGCATGAATTATTGCATAAATTATTCTAAATGTAATCAGATTTTTTTTTTAAATGTAGAAAATATCTAATAAAATGCAAAATAATTAACATATTGTTTAATTTCTGTTTTGAGTAAACTATTTCTTTAGGAACTGGATTCTACATGCACAAAAATCACATATCTATTTTTATTTACATATTTCTATAGGAACTGGCTGGATTTCACAGGCATAAATTAAAATCATATACAACATTTATTTTTATAATAGTCTTTTTGTGTTAACCATTTCCTGACAAACTGGGTTTTGCATGCAAAAAATTAAAAAGTAATATATATATATATATGTTAACTTTTTTCAGGAACTTATTAGTAACTTAAATAGTTTAGGAACTATTTTGTATGAGTTATTGCATAAATTATTGTAAACAAAATGACAAATTTATTTGTAATTACAAAATGATTTGTAATCTACAAACCTTTAAATTAATTATAATTATAAAAGTTGCATAAATTGCATAAATCATTTTAAATTGTAATCTAGAAACTTTTAAATACAAAGATTATTATCATTTTTAACTAACATTTTTTTTAGGAACTCGATTTTGCATGAATTATTTCATAAATGATGTAATCTATAAATTGTAACCATAGCTCTCCACCCTCAGATGATGAGCGAGTGGAGTCCTGTGGCGAAGGTTTACGAGCCTCTCAAAGCGGGCAGCATCGATGGCACAGATTTGGAGCCCCACGACAAAGCCGTCTGGAGGGCCATGATGGCCCGTTACCAGCCTAACAAGGGTGTGACCGGTGACCCTCACCTGACGCTGTTCGTGGCGCGCCTGAATCCACAGACGTCTGAGGACAAGCTCCAGGAAGTCTTCTCCAAGTTTGGAGACATCCGCAGGGTACGTCTGGTCTGGGACATCGTGACAGGTTTCTCCAAGCGTTATGCCTTCGTCGAGTACAAGGAGGAGCGGTCGGTGAAGAGAGCCTGGAGAGACGCCAACAAGCTGGTGGTGGACCAGTACGAACTCTTCGTGGACTTCGAACAAGAGCGGACGCTCCAAGGCTGGATTCCACGGCGACTCGGAGGAGGCCAAGGGGGCAAAAAGGAATCGGGTCAGCTGAGGTTTGGAGGCAGGGATAGACCTTTCCGAAAGCCCATCAATCTGACATCCATGATGCCCCAGAACAGATCAGCGGATAGATGGGATGCATCGAGTGGGAGGGAGGAAAGACAAAGAGACCAAGAACAAGATAGGGAACACAGGCGATGGCGGGAGAGGAAAAGCGACTGGGATCGAGGGAATGATAGAGGTTACTACAAAGAGAAAAGAGACTCGAAACACCACCGGGACCGAAGCCGTGAGAGAGACTCCAACAGAAAGGAAGACAGAAGACACAGAGATTCCTACAGAGATCGAGAATGAAGCTTTCTTTTCTTACTCTAGATTTTTTTTTTCCCCCCACTGATGTGAATTTAGTTTGAAATAAAAATGTATCTAAACAATAAAGCTTGAAGTTGGTAAGATCATTTTTTCAGCAAGGATGCATTAAATTGATCAAAAGTGACAGTACAGAGTAGACATTAATGTTGTTCTCTTAAACTTTCTATTCACCAAAGAAACCTAAAAAATGGTTTCCACAAAAATATGAAGTTTTCAACATTGATACTAATCAGAAATGTTTCTTGAGCAGCAGATCAGCATATTAGACTGATTTCTGAAGATCATGTGACACTGAAGACTGGAGGAATGATGCTGAAAATTCAGCTTTGATCACAGAAATAAATTACATTCTAAAATATATTCCAATTAAATAAACTTATTTTAAATTGTAATAATATTTCACAATATAGCACTCTTTACTGTATTTTTGATCAAATGAATGCCGCTTTGAAGAGCAGAAGAAACTTCTTTTGAACCTAACCTCATTTTTTTTCCCATTGAAGTGAATTTAGTTTGAAATCAGTTTATTCAAACATGAAAATGCTGTCATTATTTACTCCTACAAAATGGAATGACATTAAGCGGAGTAAAGAATGACAAAATGTTCATTTTTGAACCAGAAAATGTTCCCTTTAGAATTGAATTTCATTAGGTTTGTTATAAAGAACAAATAATTTGTCCTACAAATATTTTGGCATGAAATATGAGCTACACATTTCAAACTACTGTACCATAACCTCATCCCTACAGTCTCACTATGGTCTGTCCAGATCTAAAGTTACAAAAATCATCTCACAAATGTCTGCTGTGTATCTGTGCTCTTGCTTGACACATTTCAGCTCATACAAGCAGTGATAATCAAGCATTTAATCTCCCTTCGCCTCTATAAAGCACTCTTTAGTCGCTAGTATACAGAAACAATGTTATATAGCTGTTACTGCGCAGCACGAGTGTTAGAGGAGTGAGCGGGACTTTGATTCTGACTGGCTGATTCTAACGATCCTCCTGCTGATTGGTCGCACAGATAGCCCCACAATCAGCCAATCAGAATGTGCTCTTTACAGTCAGTGGCTCTAATGAGGGAGTGGGGGGGGGGGGGGGGGGGGGGGGGGGGGGCGGGGGCGGCGAAAAGGCATGAACAGTCATTTTTGCAGCTGACCTTATTGCATATGCATTTGTAGGAGTATTCCTTTCAGGTGCAAAATTTATGAGAGGAGAGTATTTAAATGAATCATGCGATCATGACTTACTAAGGTTTGCGCTAGTCAATTTACTGGTGTTTGTGCCTTTATTTACCGCCCAAAAAAGCATTTCTTATTGGTTTTGCACCTGTATTGGAAGTAGATTACACACACCTTCCTATCATTGGCTCTGTGTGTTTGCACTGCTCTTGGTAACTTGCGTTGGTCATTGTGGAATTGATCTGACTGCATTTGTGTCCTTTGTTTTGTGCATTGTCAGTAAATCACCCACAGAACTTTCCACTCCCATCGGCGCTTTTATGGGATTGTGCTCTCATGCTAATTTGCACTGTTTAGAAATCTGGCCCTAAATGTTTGTAATATAAGTGTGTGTGTGTACATGTTTGGCTCTTGTAGCAGTACGCACAGTCGTTTTATCCCCGACTCGGGCTGAAAGTTGGAGCGCGAGCTTGGCCTGAGGGTTGGAGATGCATCTGGGAGCGGCGTGTCGGTTTCCTCTTCCTGTTCGTCACTGCAAACGTGATCAAAAAATAAGTCAGCAATTCATATTTCTGATTTTTCTTACACTTGCGATTTCATATGACAATTTGGACTTTTTTTCTCTGAATTCTGAGTTTACATTTCATAATTCTGTTTTTTGTTTCTGCCACAAAATAAAAAGTAAAAAAGGCAATTGTGACTCACAATTTTTTTCTCGCAATTGCAAGTGTACAACTCACAATTTGGACATTTTTCGCAATTTTCGGAATTCTGAGTTTAAATTCCGTTTTTTTGTTTCTACCATGGAATAAAAAGTAAAAAAGGTAACTGCGACTTTTTATCTCAATTCTGAATATTTCTTGTGATTGTATATCTCACAATTCTTTTTTCTGGCAATTGTGAATTCGTATCTCACAATTGTCACTTTTTCTCAGAACTGCGAGAAAAAAAATTGTATTTACCTTTTCTATTTTTATCAGAGCATCCACAAAACAACACAAACATCACCTGGGGCCGGCTGCATAAACCGTTTAGACTCGTTAAAAAGTTAGTCATCCAATTATTTTTCTTAAAGACTGGTCATAACTTTTTTAATTCCGTTATGAAAAGGTAGATTGGTCTTATTTGTATTGAAAAAGTAAGACTGATTACCCCTTGATAACTGCTTGTTGGTCAAACTACTTCTTTAGACACAGTCTTAACATGGTGGCTAAGTTTATGCAATTGGCCTATGATTTCACTGCTGTTAATGTACAACAGTATATGATCAGTGCTTTATTTTACAAGACCGCAACCTCTCTGTTATGATCCATCATCATATGATTATGATCATCGAGTTAACATTTGATTCAGTCACATGGTTTGCATTCATACAAACACTTGCACACATGCAGGCTGCTTTAACAATGAAAGACTTTCACCAGTCGACACTCTTCACAATGAGTGTGTACCTGTGTAAAGGACTGAAGTCATTAGTGCACTGCTCTTACAGTCTGCTGTATGTTGGTACAGAACCAGTCGCACACTCTGCGGGTTTGTTGTCGCCCTAGCGTGACTCGTGCAAACAGACACATATACGGGTCAGGTGTTAGTTTACACTCCATGCTATCCTTAGAAGCTGCCTCTGCAGGGTTACCCATGAAAACGCAGCCTCTTCATCGTCCTTCTCCTCCTCACCGTCATCTGTCAGGGTTCCTGGGGCCCCGGTGTGGGGGATGAAATGGAGGGGACCTTCCTCTATCTCAAGGCCCCCAGCGAGGAGCTCAGAAGCTAAATCCTGACCCCAGGAAGGGGCCGCTTTAGACGACTGCAATCACAGACATGTGGATTGCAAATTGCAACCAACATTTTATCGGGAGTGTTTGCTTGAGTGAATAATTCTAAATAATCGACTGAACAAAATGGCACAAAATCAGAGTAATAAAAACACAATCAGCTAAATTTTCAGCAAAGGAGTTTTTGTTCTTTTCACATTTCCTTGCAAAAAAATGTTTTCATGCTACATAGAGATTAAAACTATCACTAACTATCACTTTTTTTTTCTGTTAATGTGATTCATCTAAAATGTTGAATTTGATTACATTTTCCTCTAAACGGATACACTACCGTTCAAAAGTTTGGGGCTGGTAAGGTTTTTTTTGTTTTTGAAAGACGTCTCACCATGGCTGAATTTATTTCATTGAAAAATACAATGAATACAGTAATATTGTGAAATATTATTGCAAATCAAAATAACTTTTATATTATAAAATATAATTTATTTATGTGATGCAAAGCTAAATTTTCAGCATCATTACTTTAGTCTTCAGTGTCACGTGATCCTTCAGAAATCATTCTGATATGCTGATTTTCTACTCAATAAACATTTCTTATTATTATCGATGTTGAAAACAGTTGTGCTGCTTCATATTTTTGTGAAAATTTAAAATTTTTAGAATACTTTGATGAATATAAAGCATTTATTTGAAATATAAATCTTTTGTAACACTATAAATGTCTGTTTTGATCAATTTAATGCATCCTTGCTGAATAAAAGTATTAATTTCTTTAAAAAAAAAAAAAAAACATTTGAAAGGTAGTGTAAATAAATATAGTGCACTCAAACTGCAAAACCACTAGGCTCCAACACTTTTTCACTCACATGTAATATTTCATATCAAGGTGGTAAGCTTTGCTAATAATTAAATTAAATCATACAAAGACTAATGCAATGTTAAACATCCTCAATTAGTTCCAAAAGTTCACAACTAACTGGAAGCCTCAATTCATACATACAACTTGCATACCAAGCCATATACACTGTCCACTGATTTTTATTCTCATCCTTGTTTCCTCTATGAGACTGTGACTCATTGATGTTTCATTCTGACTCATTATGGACACCATGTGAAGATCCTGACACTTTAGATCATACTTACTTCCTTCCTTTAAATAGAAATAGAAATGACTGAATGCTGCAGTTGAACACTGAGGTGTCTCAATGCATTGGAATTAAGCAAAGATGCAATGGAAAACTTCAGTTCATAATCTATTTGTCAGAGATTTCATGAGTTTCTAAACATGTGAAAAACTGACACAATCAATGCAGCACCCATCTCTATTCATGTACCTGTGCAGGTGAAGGTGGTCCTACAGGCTCCTCCGTCTCAGTGCTGACCTTGCCCTGCTCTTTAAGTCGCTCCTTAAGACGGGACACTTCCTGTCGCAGGTTACCCATCTCCTGCTGCCGTGCCTGACCAGACGCCTCCAGCACTACCTTCTGCTCGATCAGCGCTTTACCCTGGGCCTCCACCACCGTGATCTTATGCCTCAGGTCATGGTTGATCTTCATCAGCCGGTTGAACTGCTGCTGGAGCTGGAAGAAACGCCATTTGTGCCACATTAAACCTTCACAATATGATGAACATTATGTGCACATTATGCACTTCTGATCCACTGTGATTTCTTCAGATGTTTAGGCTATGATGTTATTAGGCAATATTTTTTTTTCCAGCAAAAGTTGTTGATTTTAATGAAGGCTTTCGACATCTCTTCATCTTGCTTCCTTGAGATAATGTCTGAGCATTGACTGCTGCTAACAATAGGCTAATTGACTTTACCGCTTCAATGTCCTCGTTTTTGAGCGTTAGCTCGCGGCCTTTGGCACGGATCTCGTCTCGCTGTTTATCTACAACTTCCTTCAGCTTCTTCATCACCTGCCGTTCCCTCTCGGTCATGCCTGGCATCACAAATAAAAAAATCAGCACACACAGCGTCATTTATTACATAGAGAACCGACATTCAAGGAAATAACAAAATATAAGGCATGTATAATCAATAACATATTGGACATTTTTGATCGACACATTAGCATGCAGGAAGTGTCAGGGTGAGGCTTTTGTTTTGCATGGGACAGGTCACTGGAAATAAGGACAGACGTAAGAAGTCTGACAGACGCTATAAGCAAATAACTTCCTGACTGAGAGCCCATGTTGCTGCTCCTAAAATAGATGTGTGTCCATGCGGAGAATCTGACACACAACCACTGACACACTTCACGTTTGTCATGACCTAGAAATGTAATGTCACATGCCTTAGATGTAAATATTTTCAACATATATACTGTATGTGTGTGTATTTATATATACATAATAAATATACACAGTACACACTGTCACTGTTATGTATTTATTTATCTACTATTATTTATTTATAAATACTGTAACTTTTGACAGGCTGATGTCAAATAATTAATATATATATATATATATATATATATATATAAAATTCTATATTAAAACTATATTATTAATGACCATATTAATACTTATATACATAATACTACACTTATTTATAATTGTACTAATACTAATGGAAATTGTACATGATACTACTACATTTATAATTATATATTATATATAAATGTTAATTGATATTACATATATGTAATCTTGTGTAAAATAAGTCTGCTAATAAGTAAAATACAGTTAACTTAAAAATACAAAAATTATATACAATATATTTACAAATTGTTTAAAATTAATATATTCATTTATAATATATAATTAATACCACATTTACATATATAACATATATACATTCATAAAATAGTTTTGTCAATATTTAATGTGTGTCATATTTTTGAAAATCACCAGCACGCCACAGGTGCTGTCCACGTGCATTAAATAACCAAGAATATTCTTTTAAAAGCTTATTAAGTAAGGAATTTCCTGCATTCTATTTAAACAGCTCTTTGTATCTTTACATCAGCGTTGAGAGCGGCTCTGGAATGTTTGTGTAAACAGCTGCGCTGTGTTTGACACTGAAGCAAACTCGTCCAGCAGGACTGAGAGGGAGACTGTTCTGCGAGCGTGAGTGTGTCAGAGGCACTGTGGAGTCTCTGTGCTCTCCATGCAGTAATGCGGCCTGGCTCGTCTTCACTCACATGGAGAAGGGACGCTTTGTGTGGCGTATGTGTCAGTTCCTAAACAGCTGAAAGAATGCGTGAGAATTCCTATGCGCATGATCACACGTGTTTGCTTTTTGTATCCAGAACAGGCATGCTGCTATGTTCCAAATGGAACAAATGCAATACATAAAAAAATAATAAGTGAAACAACATTAGAAATTCGTAGTATGCTACGTTGTTCTCACATGACCTCAGTATGTCTCATGTGAGTGACGTCCAATTAACACAGCATTTCTGCTGGGTTAAGACTTTTTAAGACCAAGTAAAAAAATTCTTACTTTTGATTTCACTTAAATTCAATGTTTCCCCTTACAAATGTTCAAGATTCATTACTTGTTTTCTGTGAAAGTGATCAAAGTAAGGGCTCACTTAATTAAAAGGGAACAAGTCATACTCCACTGACAAATGTTTGTTCTTATTTGAAGCATAAACTCACTTAATTTTGTTCGGTTTCTCAGAAAACAAGACTTCATGTCTTTGTTTAGCATCTCAAGTAAATATATCTTGTTGTAGGAATGTTTAGACATTAAAATACTGAGGAAGACATTGATTTTTGGCAATGCATGCAACATTTAATGCCATGACTTTATGATTTAAAGGGTTAGTTCACCCAAAAATTAAAATTAGGCTGTGTTTTACTCACCCCCGAGGCATCCTAGGTGTATATGACTTTCTTCTTTCAGACGAATCCAGTCGGAGTTATATTAAAAATTGTCTTTGATCTTTCAAGCTGTTTAATGCCACTCAGCAGGTGTTGCATGCATCAGTCCAAAAGAACTTAAATAAAAATCGCCCATCCATAAAAAAGTGTCTAACACGGTCAAGAATTAGAAGTACAAAACGAGGATTTGTAAAGAAGAATGTCGGAGGATTTCGATATATTCCAAGAGGAGACTGGTTTTCCTTTGCTTCCTTTGCTCCTGTTAACAAACGTTGGTTTTCACGAGACTCACTGGCGCATGCGCAACGCTGACCTCATACCTCATCCGCCCGGAACTGCTTCCAGCGTACAACTGTGAGCGCAAGCTACATTAAAGTGATTATTACGTTTTGAATATGGATATTTTTCTTACAAAAACGCATCGATTCGCTACAGAAGGCCTTTGTTCACCCCCCGGAGCCGTGTGAGGCACTTTTTTTTTATGGATGGGCGATTTTTATTTAAGTTCTTTTGGACTGATGCATGCAGCACCTGCCGAGTGGCATTAAACAGCTTGAAAGATCAAAGACAATTTTTAATATAACTCCGACTGGATTCGTCTGAAAGAAGAAAGTCATATGCACCTAGGATGCCTCGGGGGATGAGTAAAACACAGACTAATTTTCCTTTTTGGGTGAACTAACACTTTAAGACTTTTTAAAGCCTTAATTTGTGAAAGAGTGAATTAAGACTTTTTAAGACCTGACGAAACCCTGTATAACCTCAGAAATTTTAAAACCTCCGAAATGTGTAAACCAATTGTGTGTAAATATATTGTTTTGGCTGTCAAATAAGGTTGTATTCCATCTAATTCGAAATGGAAGGTCATGGAATTGAAGCGTGGTGCATTGTGGGATATTGTTTTCCAGACAGTGTAAGGCTGACACAAAGCTCTCTTTTTCCAAACCCTGAACTTTAAGACTACCTTCCTGTTTCTGTATATCCTCTTCCGTCACTGGACATTCTTTGATGGACAGGTTGTTGAGCAGTGTTTTGTTTTCCTCCTGCAGCTGTGCGATCTGGGACAGCAGATCCTGGGCTTCTCCTCTCCACACATCCTCCACAAGCTCCAGCTCCTGTTCACAACCACACACACATCTCAGAAGCGGCTCATAAAATATACACAAGCGTATATTTAACCGCTGACCTTCAATGGAGTTACGTAATGTCTGAAACAATCAGCAAAAACACACAAAGCAGGAGCATAATAACATCTTCACAGAAGGACACAGACAAAAGTTGCATTCATAACTCTGCTTATAATCACACACTCATGTTTTTACTCTATTCTTACATTTGTGTGAGATTCTCATGTGCTACAATACCTATGGTAAAACCAAAGTATTCTTCTTCATCTTGAAGTAGCATGTAAATAAACATATAGTATAAGAATATTGCAATCCTTCAGTAAACATCAAGTTACCATAGTATTAGCACAGTAGAATCTGACCCCACACTGTATTATAGTACTACCTTAGGATTAGGATTTGTTGCATATTTGCTCACTGTCCCAGCGGACATGATGTTACGTGATGATGATGGACTGTGGTTAAGATTACATCATTTCCTGTACCAGACAGGAACTTAGAAATTCCCATGCATGCACTGCTTTGTTCTGAAACACCACTGGCAAACAACTTAAGCAAAGAAAAACAATGTATATACGTTCATACGTACTAAAAGTAGTAGAAAAAAGCAGTATACATTCAGCAAGGATCTGTTAAACTGATAAGAAGTGACAGTAAAGACTTCTATTGTTAGAAAAGATTTATATTTTGAATCAAATCATGAAAAAAGTATCACAGGTTCAAAAAATAATAATATCAAGCAGCAAAAACTGATAATAACTGATTGATAATAAATCAGCATATAAGAATGATTTCTGAAGGATCATGTGACACTGAAGATTGTAGTAATGGCTGATGAAAATTCAGCTTTGCATCACAGAAATAAATTACATTTTAAAGTAAATTAATACAGAAAACAGTTATTTGAAATTGTAATCATATTTCACAATATTACTGTATTTTTGATTAAATAAATGTTGAGCATAAGAAACTTCTTTAAAAAACAGCCCAAACTTTTGGACATCAATGTATATACACTTTATATTAGGGCAGTCAAGCTATAATTTTTTTAATCTAATTAATCACATATATAATTAAAATAATATTCAATAATAATTAAAATTAATATATCTTATATATATATATATATATATATATATGCACTTTAATATATTTATTATTGAATACATTTATAATTTTATATATAAAATAATATCTAAATGATAGATAGATATAGTAATTTAATTGAACACGAATACAAAACAAAATATGAATTAATTAACATGTATACTTGTATATGTAAAATACTAACATAGCTGTACATATACAGTATGTTGTGACACACCTGTCTGTTTAATTCTGTGTAATTCTAGTGTCAATAAAACAGAGTTAAATGAACGAGCTGGTTATTTAGATAAGGTAAATAGATATTGTAGTCTGTGAATGTACCTTCTTATGCTTCCTCTCCTTCTCCATCCGGTCCATCCGCTCCAGCCGCAGCCGGTCCAGCTCCAGGCGCAGCTCCTCGGTCTCTGGGCTGATGCTGTTGCGGCTCACCAGGACCTCCAGGATCTCCAGCACACGGACCACTTTGGGCATGAGGCGGGACAGAGCCTCGCATCCGTACTGATCGATAATGCGCTCGAACTCCTGGCCCACGACCGCGGCGATATCGTAGACGTCCATCACGGTCAGATCCGCCGCGTTCTTCTCCAGCGCCGAACCGAAATCCTCCATGACCGTCTCTGAAGTTCGTTTCCTTCTCAACTTTCTCAGTCGCCAAACAGATCCCCAAAGCCCTCTAAAAACCTTCTAACGACACCCCGTCACGGATAAAGGCCATTTCGGGGTATTTTTAGGCAGAGTTGGACCGAAATAAGAGTTGTCCCATTGCGGTTCGGTTTCCCTGCCCTTTACGTACCGCGCATGCGCACAGCAGCGGCAGACGAGGGCGCTGCGAAATCACTGTCAAGCGCCACACTGACCTACAATACTGGTCACAAACACTGCTTACCATAGTTATTAGCTAGTTTAACTCACTGTGGCTATAAAACGGTGGACACGGGTAAATCCGTGATGGATGCTCATTGCCTTTGTTAGATCAAAGTAGTTGACAGAACATGTCAAGCAGTGACTGACACGCTATACTTATAATCAGTGTTGGGCAGTAACTAGTTACAACGAAATTACATAATTTATTTACAAAATAAATGTAACCGTAATCCGTTAAAAATGTGCAATTAAATTACAGTTACTTATGAAAATATTAATGATTACAAAGGGGGTTACATGATCTGAATATTTTCACACACACACACAGATTGAATTGATTTCTTTCCCAAATTGCATTGACTGCTTTAAAATATGAGACACCAATGTTTCAGGAGTTTAGGACACAGAATAGGGCATTTGTTTATTCGATAAATTAAGCTTTAGCGTTAGTTCTGGCGGGTCACGTGAGTCAAGCTTGCATCAGCTGATTCTCAGCTGATCACATCTACCTATAGGAATACGACACCTATCGCGGCATTCCTATATAAACTCAATTCAGTATTATTCAGCAGCTTTTCAGCTTGCTCCGGAGCAAATTACCCTCCTCCATCCCCAGCTCCTCCTTTCGCCACAGTCAGGACTTGGCTTTCTGATATCTCTTGCTAATCAGACTCCTTTATCTTGAATAAAGTGTTACACTTAAATATCATTAAGTACATTAATGATATCTGCCTTGTTCTGTTCTGTTAACCCTGGGGGGGTTATTATTGCTGCTCTCCCTGCTCATTCATGACAGGCTGCATGGATGGGCAGGGAGGTTTTTGCCAGAACAGAACCATACCGCCAAACCAAACTTTATGCTAAGTATCTATCATTTTGACGATAGTGGTCCTGACAGAACTGTTTTTTATTTCCTGTTTGGGTTTATGTTTATGCTTTACTTTTTAAGATGAACTGTTTTTTCAAACGCATTGTTAGTAGTAGTAGTATATTTAGTAGTAATATATTTATTTAATGCCATGTCTGCATCTTAGGCTATTTTCATGGCAAAAAATTTTAAAAACTACAAGTATAACAAATGCAATAAAAACCAGCAAACAAACAAACACAAGTTATATTACACAAGATTTTTTACATTCAAAAGCATTGTTAGATGCCAGTGTTTCCTGTCATAGCTGTGCAAAGATTTGATAAAAAAAAAAAAACAGTATCATAGCTATTAAACTATATATTGTTATGATTTTAAATCTGTATTTAACCTCAGGATGATCTCTGAAGTTTGCTAAAGTCTGATTTTGTGGTGGCTGTACTTTAAAATTCAATTACTTTAATCTTAATTCAGTCGATGAAGGATTTTGAGAAGTCTGTCAGTTACGAGTGTTATAACCCCACCTGCTTTAAATGTTTGAAAATGATTAACAGTTGAAAACATTCATTAGAAATTTAGAAAAGTAATCAAATGTAATCAGTTACATTAATAATTGAAATAGTTACACTACTTATTACATTTTAAATAGGGCAACTTGTAACCTATTACATTTCCAAAGTGATCTTCCCAACACTGCTTATAATCGTGTATGATTACATATGCGTGCAGTTTTTGATAAACATATTAAATTGGAGATTTCATGGATGGTTTTTGAATGGATTTCTAACATGTTTTTAATTTGTTGTTGCATCTGTAAATACAGGTGTTAAAAACAACCAGCACATGCATAACTTACCCAACATAATTAATCATTTTAATTTACTTCAGTTTGCATTTACAACTTCAAGTTAATTTACTTTAAAAGGTGTTAAAAGATCCCAAATTAACTACCAGCCATCAATTGATGGTGCTGATTAAAAAAAAAGGTTAAGTCTTCAACCTGGTACTTATTAAAATAAAATAAAAAAATTGCATGATAAAATATTTCACTGTAGCAATTCACTAAATTATATCATAAATTAAAAACATAATTTCGAATATTTAATTCACACCATATTGTATTGTCAAAGCATGAAGGATGATATACAGTAGAGACTCATGATAAAACTATGAAAATAATATACATTATGATGGTTTCTTCTTTATACATACAGGGCCCAGACTCCTTTCACCTAAACTGTGTGAGATAAACATAGAAAAAACAACAACTTAACATCTAAATTTCATTATAAAGGCAATATTTTCACTGGAAATACAGTTAAATTGGTCCAAAGCGAATAGTGTCTGTGAATACTTACTGCATTCTTGAGGAGACTGCCTGATTTGTGAAAGATTGAGGTTCGTTTAGAGCTGGTTTTGGCAGGTTCGGGGGGCTCCGGTCTGGGCGGGTCCAGTCGAAGTGGTTCGAATCTGGGTGGGTCCAGTGTGAACGCATCCAGACTGGGCAGTTCCATATCGGGCGGGTCAGGAAAAACAGTAGGCAGTGAACTGTCAAAACTATTGACTGTATTCCCTGGAGGCGAGTCCATCGGGATCCCTCCCATCTCATAGTGCTTCCTCCGGAGTTCTCCCAATCGTATACGCTCGTTCACCAGCTGCTTCTCCAACTCTAACACTTTCACCTATAAACAAATATGAGTTTAAATGTATGCATTAAAAGTCTGATTTAATCCTTTGGGATTTGATTGGATGATGTAAGGGTGTTTTAATACCTAAAACTGTACTATTTTTCATTTTGGCAAATTTACCTGAGAATCCATTTCTTCTGTTTTGAGTTTTATAACAGACATGCCGGAAAAGTCCATGGAGTCTATGGAAAAAAGAAACAAGAGGACACATAGAAATTTAGCATCACATCACTCACCAACGGATCCTCTGCAGTGAATGGGTGCCGTCAAAATGAGTCCGAACAGCTGATAAAGACATCACAATAATCTACAAGTAATCCACACCACTCCAGTCCATCAGTTAATGTCTTGTGAAGCCAAAAGCTGCGTGTTTGTAACAAAAAGATCCATTATTAAGACATTTTAACTTAAAACGGTCACTTCTGGCTAAAATACAAGTCCATAATCCATAATAATGCTTCCTTCTGTGAAGTTAATCCCCTATTGTCCTATCACATCAAAATCCACCAACATATTTGTTTAGAACTGTTTTTGCTTGCAAACAGTGCTTTATGTGTGTATATTTCTCTTCTGACTCAGACAAGATGACTTTTTCACTGGAGAAGGCAATATTATGGATAGAGGACTCATATTTTAGACAGAAACAATGGTTTTAATCATGTTAAAATGCCTTGATGTACTGCATTTGTTCTTACAAACACACACCTTTTTATTTTACAAGACGTTAACTGAAGGACTAGAATCATGTGGATTATTTGTGAATTATTGTGATGTTTTTATCAGCTGTTTGGACTCTCATTCTGACGGCACCCATTCACTGCAGAGGATCAACTGGTGAGCAAGTGACGTAATGCTAAATTTCTCAAAATGTGTTTCCAATAAGAAACAAACTCATCTAAATCTTGGATGGTCCGAGTGTGAGTACATTTTCAGCTAGTTTTAATTTCTGGTTGAACTATTCCTTTAATGTGCATTCCGGCATTGTTGGTGGTAACAAACTTCACTATTTGCATGGAGTATGTTTCATGCTTTTTGCATGTGTCCATGACACTCACTCTTGTTCTCAATCTGCATTTGTCCTGATTTAGTAGACGACACCACAACAGCGGCCATGTCATTCACGTGACGGGATGCTTGCTGTAAAGTTTGGAGCTTTTTGTTGCCTCGATCTGCCTTTACCTGTTAAATGAAGGATTGATGTGTCAGAATCATCAGATTTGATTGGATTAAACACGCACTTATATTGGTCTCATGAATTTTACCTTTGAAGCAGCAACAAGTTGTGCCGTACTGGCGGCGATCTCATGAGAGCAGACAATCAGCTCTTCATATTTGCCTTTGTCAGTCACGACTTTATCAGCTGATTCACTTTGTGAGATAATAAATCACAGTTACAGGGATTGACGCTAATAAATCCAGGTTAAAGCTTGAAATATTCTACACTCTCACAGCATCTGCGTTGCACCCCATCCTACAGCCTTTGACGCTGAAATGAGTCCCTCCGTCCAACGTGAATTTTTAGCATAGAAGTCTTTGACAGAACCAGCACCCTAAGATGGAATACGGCAATAAGGTGATTGAGTGTGTGAGTATGCATGAGTTATGAAAATGATCTAAAATTGTCCAAATCATACCCGGCCACTTTCCACAATGTCTCTCTGCAGGTCAGTAGAAGCCATCACCAGCATGTGTATAGCCTATGGACAAAAGTGATGCAAAATTACTTGAAAAATCTTGATATACATTACCAATTTAAAAAGTTTAAGGTCAGTATTTTTTATGTTTAGAAAAAAGTAACTTAGGCTGCATTTATTTCATTACAAATACAGTAAAAACAGAGAAATTTTGAAATATGAATACCATTTAAAATAACTGTTTTCTATGTGAATATATGTTAAAATGTAATTTATTCTTGTGATCAAAGCTGAATTTTCAGCATCATTACTCCTGTCTTCAGTGTCACATGATCCTTCAGAAATCATTCTAATATGCTGATTTGCTGCACAAGAAACATTTATAATTATTATAAATGTTGAGCTGTGGAAACCATAATACTTTTTTTCAGGATTCAGGATTAAAAGAAAATTCAAAAGAACAGCATTTATTTTAAATCTTTAAAATAAATCCGGACTGTTTTTTTAGTCCCGCTCCCGCAAGGTTCTATTGCGCACCCACCCGCTCCCGCTATATATTCACTCTTTGTTCACCCGCTGTCCGCTTAGAATAATTTTCTTCCCGACCCGACCGTCCCTGCTAAATTTAGATCTCGTTTCCAGAATCTCACATTTAAATTTCCGCTACTGAAAGAAAGAGATAGGCTGACAAATAAAAGTGTAGTCTGCACAAAATTGTGTTATTTTATTTGTCTTGTCAAGAGTCTTGAATTTATTGACTTTGACTTGAATTTATAGGAGTTATCTTCAGACACAAAATTCGTTTAACATTTTATGCAACACAGTAGGAAAAATGTGTCAGAGAAAATAAAATTGTACAAAAATTGTATTTTTATTTTTATTCGTCTCGTCAGGATACAATTCGTTTAACATTGACAACACAATAGGGAAAAAGTGTCTCAGAGAGAAAACAAAATTAATAAAAATGTAGGTTGTACAAAAATAGCCTATTAGCTATTTTTATTCGTCTTGTCAAAAACACTAAATTTGTTTGACAAAGCCGAGTTGAACGTCCTTCAAGGACAGCGCATCCACACTTTGCTCCATCCTTATTCTGCTCTGTCACTCACTGACAACCTGCCTGTTCTGTCTGAGGGCCGTATACTTACCACAGGTACAGTTCTGAGCATCGTTATGCACATTCTGCGCACATACCACGCAAATAAAATGCGTGACGTTTAAAGCATGCGTGCAGCGCATGCATAACAGTCCTGAGCGCAAGCTGTACCAGTGGTCAATAAGAATAAAGTGCAGATATGCTGTTCTAAATGGACGTCGGGAACGGGATATTGATAGACCATCTGCTCCCGTTCAAATTACACCAGAGTTACCAACCGCTACCGCATTTTATTCGGGAATTTAATCCACATATTCATCTTTGTGAATCTAAACGTACCTTCATGAGATCTGAACACGAGCCAATGATGCTGTAATAGAACAAACAAACATTTAATTAGACAACACATAAACTACAAAACATAAACATAAAACTATATCCCAAACTAACTTTTGATTAACTTCCAGCTTCACTCCAGATGAATCTCTTCTTGCCTGGCTCAATATTTCCTGTATTACATAAGAAAAAACTCATGAAGTCATAGCAAATCCTGAGTTCAATCCAGCATCATTAAAAGGATACTCCACCCCAAAATTAAAATTTTGTCATTAATCACTTACCCCCATGTCGTTCCAAACCCCTAAAAGCTTTGTTCGTCTTCGGAACACAATTTAAGATATTTTGGAGGAAAACCGGGAGGCTTGTGACTGTCACATTGACTGCCAAGTAAATTCCACTGTCAAGGTCCAGAAAAGTATGAAAAGCATCGTCAGAATAGTCCATCTGCCATCAGTGGTTCAACCGTAACGTTATGAAGCGACGAGAATACTTTTTGTACGCGAAGAAAAAAATAACGACTTTATTCAACAATTCGTCTCCTCTGTGTCTCCCCGCATCACCGTAGCGCCATTTTGGAGAATAACCACTGAACGTAAGCGGCGTACGCTATACTGTGTCAGCCGCACCACACGGATGCGCTATTTTCGTTCAAATCGTTGAAAATTGACAAATTGTTGAATAAAGTCTTTTTTTTTTTTTCTTCGCGTAGACGGTTGAACGTTACGGTTGAACCACTGATGGCAGATGGACTATTCTGACGATGCTTTTCATACTTTTCTGGACCTTGACCGTGTAATTTACTTGGCAGTCAATGTGACAGTCACAAGCCTCCCAGTTTTCATCCAAAATATCTTAAATTGTGTTCCGAAGACGAACAAAGCTTTTAGGGGTTTGGAACGACATGGGGGTAAGTGATTAATGACAAAATTTTCATTTTGGGGTGGAGTATCCCTTTAACACAGTGTAACTTACATCCATTCTCAGCACAGCATCTTCAATGGCAGAGGAAGTTGCAGCCATTTCCTTATCCACCATTTCTGCCAGCTCTTCCTTCTGCACATCTGCTCCCCTGGGCCGCAGGTCCTGCAGGAGACCAGGAGAGAGGTCACTTATTATGTCACACAAACACAGATCAAGTCTGAAGATGCTATCTCTGGTCCAACGCACCTGTCCTTGGTTGAGGAAACGCTGGACCACATAGCGGACAGCAGTAGGGTCAGCTCTCGGGAGCGTGGCCTTCAACTTCAGCTCTTTCAGATACTGGAGGCAGTGAGTGGCACAATCCCGGCAGTTATCTGTCAAACCTATGGAGAAATGGACCAAAAACCATCAGACTGCTGGGAAAAAAAACAGCTTTTACCAGTTTAAGGTGTTCAAGATGGTTTTAGGAGCATAATAGATGATTTGCTGCTGGATTGAGATAGTAAAACAGCTCTAACTAGCTTGATCAATGTGCTCTACCAGGTTGCAACCAGGTCTACAGTTGATTAGCCATCTAAGGACTAAAGATGAGAAGTTTGGACCTACTAAATGCCATGCAAAACCATCTGGTATTAGCTGGATTTTCTAATGCAAATCATCAGTACAAAATACAACACTTGAATAACTTTAAAGACTGTGTTAATTTTCTAATGCAGTCATCTGTATATATTTTCTAATGCAAAACTTTGTGGTAATTTGCAACTTATTTTTTAATAAATTATAAATTATACCTAGACCAGCTTGGACCATCTAATGACCATAAACGAGCAGCTTGAAGAAACTATAACCATGTAAAACCATCTGGTGTTAGATGGATTTTCTAATGCAAATCATCAGTACAAATTTTGTAATACAAAATATTTGTAATAGAAAATTGGAATAACTTTAAAGACTGTGGTAATTTGCAACTTTTTTTAAAGTTAACGTTATAAATTATATCTAGAGCAGTTTGTACCATCTAGGAACCATAACTTTGCAGCTTGGATCAGCTAAAAACTACACAAACCCATCTGGTATTATCTGGATTTTCTAATGCAAATCATTGGTAAATGTATTAATCAAAACCATGAATAACGTTAAATACTGTTCATTTGCAACTAGACCAGTTTGGACCATCTAAAGGCCAAAATAAGCAGCTTGGACCATCTACAAACTATGCAAAACCATCTGGTATTAGCTGGATTTTCTAATGCAAATCATCAGTACAGATTTTGAAATACAAAACCTTGAATCACATTAAAGACTGCGGTAATGCAGCTTATTTTTAAGAAATTAAAAATTATATCTAGACCAGCAGCTAAACCAGCTTGGACCATCTAAAGGACACAAATAAGCAGTTTGGACCATCTAAAAACCAAAACGGTGTCATATTAGCTGGATTTTCTGAAGCAAATCATCTGTGCAGATTTTATAATACAAAACCTTGAATCACATTAAAGACTGCGGTAATGCAGCTTATTTTTAAGAAATTAAAAATTATATCTAGACCAGCAGCTAAACCAGCTTGGACCATCTGAAGGACAAAAATAAGCAATTTGGAGCATCTAAAGGACACAAATAAGCAGTTTGGACCATCTTAAAACCAAAACGGTGTCATATTAGCTGGATTTTCTGAAGCAAATCATCTGTGCAGATTTTATAATACAAAATCTGAAATAATTTTAAACACTGTGTTAATGCAACTTATTTTTAAAGAAATTATAAATGTTTTGTGTATGTTTTGTAATACTGCAGAAAGTTTGATTTTGAATGTCAGCAGCGCTATATGCATATGAAACGTGCATGTGCGCATTTTTAATAATAAAAGAATAATTAGGATTCTGACGGTCTGCTTGGTCCGTAGGTGCTGAGTGTGCAGTTCCTGCTCCATTCACAATAGTGTCAGCGATGAGATGGGAGAACTGGGTCACCGACCTCAACAAACCACTGGCGTCTAGAAGAGGAGGAGGAAGAGATTACATCACACTAACGCCTGAACCTGTAGCTTACTGATGAGAATGACTGACATCTTACCATCCATATTCCTCAAGTAAGCCGCATGACTGTGCTGCATCTTATCAATGGACGCCAACGTCAACTCAGCACGATTGATCAAATAATCTGCAAGCAGAGATTAGGTATATGTAGAGTAAAAGAAGTGATGGGGATATTCAGAGGTATGAGGAGGAGGGTGAGGAAGGACAGACCTGGGGTGCTGATGCAGCGCACGTGTAGTGGATCGTCCACTTTGGCCACAGCGTCCAGCACGATGCCCTCGGCCTCCACCACAGCGCACTGCAACATACTGAACTGCTCATCCTGCAGCTTCTGCTGCAACAGTCCTAAGTCCTGACTTAACTGTACAGAAAATACACACAGCAGAAGAACTAATTAAGACCCTCAATAGACACTACAGTAGCTAAACCTGGGCTACATCCCGATGTGCAAACTGTTCATCCTATACAAAATTAAACCGTCCCAAATCATAGTATGACTTTGAAAATATATCATATATTTCAACATTATATCAGCTATCAGTCAGCCCACTCTCTAAATATTGACATAAGTTATATTTATATATTATATTACACAAAAAAACTCATATTAATAATTGTATCTATCAGTCAGCTCACTTTCTAAATACTGACCAAATTTAAGATTAGATTAGATAAAAATATTTTCTTTTATTAAATAGTATTTTATATTAAAATCATATTATATTTGCTATTATACAGTATATCATAGATCATTATATTAGCTATCAATCAGCCTACTCTCTAAATACTGACATGACTAATATTATATTATGTTAATTTTAGCTATTATTGAATTGAGTCATACAGCATATTTCAGTATTGTATTAGCTATCAGTCAGTCCACTCTCTAAATATTGACAGAACTAATATTTATATAATTAATATTCAGTGTTGGGAAGGTTACTTTGGAAATGTAATAGGTTACAGATTACATGTTACCCTATTTAAAATGTAATAAGTAGTGTAACTATTTCAATTAATGTAACTGATTACATTTGATTACTTTTCTAAATTTCTAACAAATTTTTCAAATGCTAATCATTTTCAAACATTTAAAGCAGTCAGGGTTAACCTTACAGTAGGACTCAACACTCATTACTGTCAGACTTTCAGTATCCTTCATCATTTGAATTAAGATTATAATTTATTTTTAAAGCACATCCACCACAAAATCCATAACAAGCTATGATACTGTTTTTTAAATCAAATCTTTGCATAGCTTTGACAGGAAACACAGGCATCTAACAGTTCATCTTAAAAAAGCATATACATAAACCCAAATAAGAAATAAAACAGTTATCGTATAAACGTGTCCTAAACTCCTAAACATATTTTAGAGCAGTCAATGCAATTTGGGAAAGAAATCAATTAAATCTGTGTGTGTGTGTGTGCACGCGCTGTGTGTGTGTGTACGCGTTTTTGTGGCAAATGAGGACATAAATTTGTATAATGACAAAGGTATGACATAAGTATTACAAGGAGAAGGTGACTTTTCAGGACATTACCCCATGTCCCCACTTTTCAAAACGCTTATAAATCACACAGAATGGAGTGTATTGAAAATCTGAAATAGCACAAAGTTTCCTGTGAGGGGTAGGTTTAGGGGTAGGGTTGGTGTAGGGCAATAGAATATACGGTCTGTACAGTATAAAAGCCATTACGCCTATGGGATGTCCCCACTTTTCACAAATGTAAACCTGTGTGTGTGTGTGTGTGTGTGAAAATATTCAGATGTAACCCCCTTTCTCATCCTTAACATTTTCATAAGTAACTGTAATTTAATTACACATTTTTCTCAGTAACTGTAACTGATTACAGTTACATTTATTTTGTAACTAAATTACGTCATTCCATTACATGTAACTAGTTACTCCCCAACACTGCTAATATTACATTAACAAAAATATTATATTCATATTTGCTATTATTGTTTGGTATTATCATATTTCAGTATTATGTCAGCTATCAGCGTCCCAAATCGTAGTACTTTAAAAAGTGCACTTATACTATTGAAGAATTTTCAAACTATGTATGCATGAATATTTTTGGGAGAAATCTTGCCCACAATCCCTAACTTTTCTGACCTTGGCCTGCATTTGGCTCTGCAGCACTGCCAGGTCTCTCTGACTCCTGTCTCTCTCCTGCAGAAGTGTGGCCTGGTGGAGTTGGGTGGCCTGACGCAGGTTAGTGATCTCAGCCTCCTGTTCTTTCACTGAACGTAGAAGAACCTCCTTCTCCGCCTGCAGACCCACTAACACACTGCTCAGCTGGTCTCCTGTCTAAAACACACATACAAACACAAAGAATGTACCGTTTTGAAGGTGTAGTGCTGATCCAGACACCATAGATGAACTGACAAACATAAGCAGGTCTTGACAAAGAGATCCTTTGTTCTTAGTATATAATTGCCAGGCTGTGTTATGTCAAAATTTGACCAAAAAATAAGATCATGTGACACTGAAGATTGGAGTAATGATGCTGAAAACTCAGCCTTCCATTACAGGAATAAATGATGCTTTTGACAAGTATTATGTTATATTTAATGCTGTCAAATCACATCCATGTGTATGTGTACTGTGTATATTTATTATGAATATATAAATACACACACATATCAGTATATATTTTGAAAATATTTACATGTATATATATTTATATTCTTATATTTTATATTATATATAAATATAATATATAAACAACATATTTTTCTTAAATATATACATGCATGTGTTTGTATTTATATATACATAATAAATACACACAGTACACACATATATTATGTAAACAAAAACTTTTATTTTGGATGCGATTAATCGCGATGAATTGTTTGACAGCGCTAGGTATATTATATTATATTATATTATATTATATTTCAGTACTGTATAAGCAATCAGTCAGCTCGCTCTCTAAATATTGTATCAGCATTTGATTTTGTAAAAATCATATTGGTCACCCACTAACATGTTCAATTAGTGTCTGCATGCTTGTGTAAATAAAAAGTCAAATTATGCATCAGTTGCACAAATGTAAACAGCTTGCATATGTTTGTAACAGAGGGTCTACTGAGGAGGAAATACTCACGGTTTCTTTACTGTTCAGAGCACTTTGAGCACGCAGCAGCTCCGCTCGCTTCTCCTCCAGCTCACGTCTCAGTTTCTCCATCTCCAGCTGCAGCTCCTGTTCCCGACACAACTGACCACAAATAAACAGCAAACACATTCATTCAGACCTCATGCTGTTTTGTTTAAAATTATGACAGCAAAAACCTGCATGTAAGTTCATATTAATTGGCATTAGGAAGGATTAGGACGTTGCTCTGACTTTTTCCTGCAGCTGGTTCTGCAGCGCTGTCATCTCTCTCTGATGTCGGTCTCTCTCCTGCTGTAGGGTGATCTGGTGGAGTTGGGCGGCCTGACGCAGGCTAGCGATCTCAGCTTCCTGATCTTTCACTGTACGAAGTAGGGTTTCTTTTTCTGCCTGAAGACCCACCAGCACACTGCTCAACTCGTCTCCGGCCTAAACACACACACAGATCAGAGACACATTACATTATTTACCCATTTTAATGCATTCAGTTGCTAATCTAGAAATCTGGAGTCATTTATGCACATTGATAGAGATCCTACCTTCTCCTTGCTCTGCAAATTATTATGGACTTGGAACATTTCAGCCCTCTCGGTTGCTAGCTCTTGCTTCAAACGTTCAATTTCTGCTCTCTGTGCCTCCAGCTAAAAATTACAGTTCAGTTCAGTTAATGACAGGTGGATATTTCAGCCAGGCAGATATTTTTGAGATTATCTGTACTAGTTTCAATTAAATAATCTAACCTGATTGTCAATGGATAATGTATAATTTCTGTTGTTTTTGAATAATTTTGAGTAAATTCACTACCATTCAAAAGTTTGGAGTAAGATTTTATTTTCCTTTTATTGAGAAAGGATTAAATAAATTGGTCAAAAGTGACAGTAAAGACATTTATAATGTTACAGAAGATTCATAATTCAAATAAATGCTGTTCTTTTGAACATTTCATTCATTACATAATCATAAAAATGTGTCAGTTTCCATAGAAATAAGCAGCACAACTGTTTTTAACATGGGGGGCTATGGGGGGGGGGGGGGGGGG